TGCATTTAACTACATAAGGAAATGGTGAATTGTTATACTAAGATTGAAGGCAGGATGTGGTGCATATGCAAGATAAAATATAGAAGAGACAGACTGAATATTGTGTTTGATACATATCTGAAGCCACAAGATTTTGTGGTAGCCACTCTACAGATAAAGGGTTCTTTCAAAATCCTTGGGATTTACTTCCACTTACCTGTAATTTAAAACACAATAAAACAGGACACTGGTTCACTGGGATGCTGCTGTAGAAGAAAAAAACCTGAAAGCATAGTAGCTACGTTATAACTAGAATATTCAGATTCTATTGACAAGCTTTCAATTTGCCTTTTTTTTGAAAGCATTAAAAAAGGTATTACAGGGTCATGAGTTCAAAAGACCACTGGACCATGACGTGTGCAAAGGCAGCGACAAGGTGGTGCCATTCTCCATTAAGCTGCAAACCCAATTAAAGAAACGAGGACGCTTTATTCAAAAGTATGAATTTTGCACCAAAGTGTACAAGACAGAAATAACTGCACAGTCATCTCTTACAAAATATAGCACTTTCAAATGACAGACAGAATGAGACCTTGATCAGATGGGCCCAGGAGTGGCAGCTGGAGTTTAATTTGTTGCATTTTAATAAGGCAAATCGGAGCAGGACATATACACAGTTAACGGAAGCTTCCTGACTACTAATGCCATGCACAGACAGGTTCATAGTTCCTTGGAAGTAGAGTCGCAGGTAGTGAAGCGGCATTTGGTATGTTTGCCTTTATTGGTCAGGGCATTGGGTATAGAATATGGCAGGTCATTGGTTGGGCCACTATTAAAATATTGCATGCAGTTCTATTCTCCCTGCCATAGGAAGGATATTGTGAAACTTGGAAGGGTTCAGAAAATATTTACATGGATATTGCCGGGTTGGAGAATTTAAGGTATAGGGAGAGGCTGCATAAATGGGCTATTTTCCCTGGAGTGTTAGAGGCTGTTGAGTGACATAGTGGTTGAAAAATCATGAGGAGCATGGATAAAGTGGATATCCAAGATCTTTTGCCTGGTTTAGGGGAGTCCAAAACTAGAGGGCATAGGTTTAATGTGGTGGTGGTTGGGGGAATTAGATTTGAAGGAGACTAATGGAGCAACTTTTTCACATTCCGTATTGTATGCCTGAATGGAATGAAGTGCTACACGAAGTGGTAATGGCTGGTACAACTACAATATTTAAAAGTCATCTGGATGGGTACATGAATAAGATGGGGTTAGGGGGATATGGGTGAAATGGTGGCAAAACAGGACTAAATTAATTTAGGATATCTTTACAGCATAGACAACACACAAAAAGGTCTGTTTCCATGCTGAACAATTCACTTTAGTTGAGATTTACAAAATCTGTACATTACACAGCACACATGGCTGTACTTGATTTTGTTGGTTCAGTGATAGTGTCTCAGTGCAAGTTTATATCTAATGTCTTCACTACAAAGTATTGAATTTATGAGGCACTTGAAATATACATTACCTTTTCCATTGCAAGTTTGTTTAGTCATATCTATAGGGGAGTTATCCATTTGTGTACTACTTGCACAACAATATAACTCAAGAATGTAACATTGGACTTGAAGTGAGGACAGATCAAGCAAACATTTGGCAATGCAACACTTAATGCAAGTCCTCACATTTGTAAGAGACCCAACAGCTAAATTCCTAAGTAACAATGTGATAATGGCTACATTGTGTGTAATGCTGGACGGATGGATGAATCTTGGCCAGGACACTGGGGTAAACTGCCAATTCTTCATTAACGAAGTCCCACCAAGTATTTTACATACATGAAGGAATACTGTTTTCATTTTCATGCAAAAGCTCACTTCAACAGTGCATTTCTATAAGGACATCAGAACATTAGCCTTGACCTGTGCACTCAAATCATGGAAGGAGGAAGGACCCTGAATCCACATTGTTGAGTCTGCAGTGTTCTCAAACCCATGTCTAACACCCAAAGAACACAATGTGCTCACTGATCCCTCTTCCAATCTGGTCTTTTAATAGTTTCAGCCAATTTCAAATGGCTAAAACATCTAATTGACTTCAGAAAACCATACTGGATTGGTGACAACTGTGACATGGCAAGTGGTGATTAAATACAATAAAGCCAATGCTATAATTGGCAGAATGTCACAAGTAGAGGGCCTATGGACTTACTTGTAAAACCACACAAACTGTCAAAAATAAGAGTAAACCCAAGTTTGCAAGTTAACAAAAGTTGCAGATGTATTAAGTTACATATGCTGTAAGTACTCAGCAAGTCAGGAATCATCTGTGGAAGACAGATCTATTAACCTTGTTAGAACTGGAAGAAATTAGCTTTAACCTTGAAACAAATGGGGGTAGGGGAGAAAGGAACTGTGCATCTAGTTAAGAAACAGAAGTGATCAAAGAAATGTACATGGCAAACAGATACAACTGCACCTCCCAACCAATAGATGCTTTCATTATCTCATTGTTGAAATCAATATCTGCAAAATGCCCATTTGGAAATGAAGGGGAAAAATGTGGGTCAATGAATTAAAATGGCAAATGTCAATGGAAGATCATACATCAAACAGGTAACTTGTCAACTACCCAATCTAGTATTTGGTCACAGTTCACAAGCAAAATTGAAAGTGAAACTTTTTTGCTGTTTCATCTGGAAGGTGTGACTCTAATCTTGGCCATTGACCATAATTTTCCTCAAATGGGTATTTAAGAAAAACATCTATTCAAAAGAAAATTTGAAGGAACTTAAACTAAAAACTTAGATAACCAGAAATCTTACCCAAAAGAAAGCATAATTTTTCTTCATTCTTTCATTTTCCAACTTCCCTCTTGTAAATTGTAATATTCAAGAGTTCATGATGCAAAGTGACCCAAAAGTACTGCCTTTAAAATTTACTAATTATTTCCTCCCCAATCTATTCTTTAGCCAAATTTTTTTCCACTATTTTCAGTGATCAATTAAACAGCTTTTTACAAAAAAGTAAACATTTTAGTTTTAGTCTTGCTTTCTCTGCAAATCCAATTTTTCATATGACCATGAATCAAGCAATGAGCACGTCCAGCATGTACAATTTCCCAGTTAGTGGTAACATTGAGACCAATTGTTTGATGCAATCTTCAGCTGTCAATGTCTGCTCAGTTGATTTCAACATCTGTAAGCAATACAAATTTCAAAACTGTGTGTCAGCCAGTGTGTGACATGTCTGTAGATTTACATACCTGTGGAAGCTTTCAAGTCTACTTTTCTCTGAAAATGGTGTGCTTTGACAAAGTGACCTCAATTAAATCACAAATCAACACTAGTTACTTTAACTTTATCAAGCTGCTGAGATGAAAATTCATATGGTTCATATTTACAATTCAGAGCACATTTGTTTGTTTATTCAGTGGAGTTGAAAATTGCAGCCTTCCAAAGTGTGGTTATGGAAACCTTTATGCTCTTTAAAAACCTTATTCCTGGTGAAGGTTCTCTAATGTGTTTCAACAAGTGTTCAAGGAGGTCAACAGTCAAGGTAAACATCAGATGCATTTAAGACCAAGCTAGATGAACACTGGGGATTGAGGAATGAGAATATATTAAATGGGAGGAAATATTTCATGTGAAACATTTCAAAAGGTGGCAGCTACAAACTTTGATCCCTAATCAGTTACTTCACAAGAGCCACAAAAACTGCTGATCAAAAATACTGCACCATAGAAATTCATTTTAAAGTGATGTGTTTGTTTCCAATTAAGGAGGCAGACACAGTAAATCTGTTCTCAGAAACTATAACATTATATCCAGAAAATAAAAACTCAAACCTAGACCTACAGTTAGATACTTAGTCACCCACTTCAGGAATCATCAACAAACCAAACAACATTCCACCAGTTCTCCAAAGCTCAAACTGGCAAAAAAAAACCTTTGCTCCCCCAATTGTAATCCCACTACCACTGTTCCCAAATCACAATGCATAACTTACTCTAGTGTTGATAATTATCAGCTACCTACATGCAATTGACAGCACGCAATGACAAGTTTATGTCATTCCCACAAGTGAAGAGCCCAAGTACATCAGAAAAGGTCTAAAAATCCACAATTACACACAAGAGTAAGTCACTATACATTAATTCTGCGTTACTTTACGGCATAACTAAGATAATACATACCAGAAACCGTGCCCTTGATTGTACCAACTGAGCTGTTAAGGTTCCATCTCCCACTGCGAAACCTTTCAGTTCTTCTAGATTTGCATTTCCACCAAACTCCATTGCTTTCCAGTGATGACCTACAATGCTGGCCTGCAGCATGAGATTTATCCAACCCACCTACAAGTAGCTTCAAAGCTTTCACAATGACTCACTGACCTGCAATCCTGATCAACTGCCAAATTTGAAAAACCACCACAATCAATACTTCTCATGAAGCCTACTGGTGACCTTCAGAGTACTAGGGTTTTGTTTGGCAGGGCAGTGTCAAAGCACATATACTGAACTTCAACTTGTGCTGCCATTCTAGTTGTAATAATTCCTTCATTTGTGTCACTGCATTTAAGTATCTGAAATGTTTCACACAAACAGCATTTTACTTTGAAGTCACAGAGCTATTTAGTTACACACAAGTCTATCATATGGTCCATTCAGGCACACACACAGTAGCCAATCCCATTTAAATATGAAATCACCCACTTCACACACCAGCTGCCATCATATGTTAATAGTATTTTATGATGGCATCTACTAGCAACTAGAACGATCACAGAAAGTCACATTAACAAAATCAACATTTATGCCTACATATTTTGTCCAAATAAATTTGACCATTGTTGCCAACTGCATCCCATGGAGCCAGAGGCCATATTGCATTTGCCTGCAACAGTTTATACTGGTGCTTTTTTTTTTTTAAAAAAAAGGATGACTTTCTCCAGTTAAGTCCTTTCAAAGGTCCCAAAACTCAAGAAAAGACAAAGTAATTTGCAAACATTAGTGCGGAGACCATGTGTTCAAAAGCTTTTGTTTTTATTGCCAAGGTTTAAAAGTCTATAGTATTAACACATGTCCCATTACTGGATCACTCTCCACTGACTGTTCTAACATATTAAGTTCAAAATTAAGCTGCTTACAAGTCACATCTTCAATTCCCTTACAAATTAAGCTCCTATTATTGTTGCATAAAAGCATGGAGACATCCAGCACATCTGTTATCAGTGTACAGCAGAACTGAGAGAAGATTGTGTTTCTTGGAACATGTATATCATTTGTATTAGAATTGGAGGAATAGTCGCTGGAATGGAAGAGCAAAGTTTAATTACAAAAATTTAGTTATCAAGTGATTATTAAATACTTAAACTACATACAATCACCCAGTTAGGGTGAGATTCAGCTGCTTCACCACCCAACCCCCTGATAAAGCTCAGAAATTTGTTTTAGTGCAGGGGTAGAGACGTGATTTTCATCACAGAAAGCACTTACCTCTTATTTTGTGACTGATGCTATTACTTATTTAAAAGTAGCACAAAATAAAAAACCTCTGTATAAAAATTAGGTTCCCTGATGCAAAGCCTGCAGAAAGCCAAAATCTGCATCTGTGTAATGTTCATACAAAAACAAATCCTTTGGCAAAACCATTGTTTCTGGAGCCCAAAGAATCATATTATTCATATTTACAATTGTGGACAATGACTCAAATTTTAAAATTCAACTTTCAAAGAACAGGAGTTATTGCAGAATTTATTGATGTTAAGATCCAAAACTAATCCACTACTACAAAGTCCATGACTTAAGCTTAAACATTCACTGCCTCATCGTGATAGATCTATCCTTTATAAGAGGCAATGCAGCAACTCACCACAGCCCCTTCTAAACCCATGACTTACCACCTCAAAGGACCAGGGCAACAGATGCATGGGTACATTACCACTAGCAGGATTCCTTCCAACACACCATACTGACTTCAAATCATAAGTGCCATTCCTTCAGTCACTGAGTTAAACTCTTGGAACTTGCTCCCCAACACAACGGTGTGTCTAGACCATGTGGACGCAGCAGTTGGAGACAGCACTCAGTAACTCCTTCTCAAGGGAAGGAAACATAGCCTAGCCAGCCACAATTAAGTTAAAAACTTCCAACTGTCATTAATACTAGTATATAACAATCCAGCTCAATATTAAACCAGCTTCTAGATTTCTGTACACTCTCAAATCTAAAATTTTGCATTAGCTCCAATATTCCACAGTTTGTCCACATTTAGGATGCTTCACTATGCTTTGCTAAACAAAGTCCGCATTGCCCAACCTAGCTACAATACTGATGCCACTTAAACAGTTTGCTCACCTGGCTGGAGAAATCACAATTTATTAGGATGGTTACAAATCAATTTTCTCATTACAATTACGGCATACACATTTTCTCTAACTTTGCAGTCAACGTGACAGCATATTGTATACAGCTGGAGTGCACAAGTGAGAAAATCAAATGCATAGAGAATTAAAAGAACTGCCAAAAAGACACTAGTTTATAGATTATGAGACTAAAAACTGATGAGGAAAGATTCCAGGCATCTTTGTCAGTATGTCATCTGCAGCAATTGTGCCTATTAATTTGATATCAGGGTGTGTTAATAATGGCTATTTATTCCCCCTCTAGAAATGTACCGTACTAGACCGGATCCTAAAAATGTCAAGAAATCTGAAAAAGCTCAAAATTTAAGCTGTTGCCAGTTAAATTCTAAAATTAATCTCAGGGTTCAGGCAGCATTCAACTAATCTGAACCAAGAGATTATGCATCTATGCTAACTCAATATTATCCATTCTAGAATGCATGTGCTCCATTTCTGGCAATCAAATGCTGACAAATCACACAAAAGTTGCAGTAATCACATCACAATTGTTAATCCTTCAGTGTTGACGACATCACGCAACTATAACGGAGCATAATGGCCATCACCATCCATGTCACCTGTAAAAAAAAAAGTCCCAAAACAGAATAAAATGACAGTGTACATCATATACTGAAGTACCCATACTGGAACAATTCAAAGGCACAAATCTCTCACTGAAGACAGTTACAAACCTTCAAAGATCACTGCCTTGCAACTTAAACTTGCACCCATTCCCACCCCCACACTGGAAGTTATAGATAAAACTGCATAACATTGAAGGTTGCTCACTCATTGAGATCTCAAGCCAGAAAAAGTTTTATTCCAACAGGGAAAGTTAGAGCTGGAAGAACTGTTAACTCAACTGAAATAATCCCAAGTCACTAATTTTTCCAGACAATGGACAGATATTACAATGTAATCCCTTCTCTTCCCAGTTATTTAGGAAACCAGAACAGTTTCAACTAGGTTGTTCTTGTTCTACATATCCTCCAACTAAACACTAATTATAGGCCATCCAGAGTGCAATCTTGATTTTGCAGTTGTTTACCCCTGGGGAAAAATGTCCCTTCCCATTGACTGAATGAAGGTATCATCATTCTTGATCTGTGGAAGTATTATGTTGAACATCAACAGAGTGGATTTATTTCCATAATTCCTGTGTAAATATCAATGTCACAAGAACACTTGCAGTTCAGCAATGCCTACCAAGAAATGGGCAAGCGCAGAATGGCAAGGATATGACATGACATCAACTCAGGCCAAACAGATCACTCATTTCCTTCTCCCAGCATCTCTTCCCACACCACTTTAAACCAATTTTTTAAATTTCCAGATGTTCACAACAGCAGGGAATTACAGACGTCTTAGTACCAGGATGCATCTGAGTAGGGAAGTGGAGAAAGCCTAGTATCAGAGCTTCCACAATAGGAGGAAATTCCATGCCTTAATCTGCGTTTTATAGGCAATTCAGTAGTAGAATGACATGCATTAAGACACTATCACTTCGTAAGAGATCAGTGGTCATGCTCAATTGGATGGGATGTATTCAGATTAACTGCATAAGACAGTTAGGTTGCTAATTTTGCAGCTAATATAGATGGTCACAATAAGTGGAAAAACCAAGAACCCATTCCATCAACTACTTTATCACTAATGTCCATACATTCTAACGATAACCTGCATCACTTAAAACCCTCAACTAGAGACCTTCCTTCTGTAACTGGCAAGATTAATCAAACTACAAACCATTCCCCATGACTATATTTGAATCAAAGACAAGAGCTGCAGCAAAATAAACAGCATATCAAAAACAAAATACTGCAGACATAAGTTTGAAAAGACTTTTGTAGTTTGACCTGAAAGCATTATTATATGCATCCCAAAAAATCCACAATTTTATAAAGATGGTTGTAGGAACACATTCTTCTCCCAGTCATCTTAATATTGCCTGGAAGAGACACCAAAAACAAAATTGGATGGTGTTAATAATTTACGCCTCCATCAAAAACATGACCACTATAAGCCCTTGCTGCTTGCCGTGCTTTTAGGTGCATTAGTCATTAGTTGTGCAAGGGTACAAGTGCTGGTCAATTTAAATAGCCAGCACTTGCAAGACCAAAACAATTGGGTCAGCTGCAATTGTTCACATGACCAACCGAAAAGGTCAGAATTCACATATACTATCCTTTAAACTATATAACTGGTTCAGAAAGATACCCAGCTAAAGGATAAAGGTGACAGAACAGACTACTGATGCAATATATTAGCTAACTTTTCCCACAATCACAGCAGCAGGGAAAATTTGTCTATGCACTTTACAACTACAGGATGTTTCTGGGCATGAGTGCATTTCTAGCCTGCGACTCCAACTATCAATAAGCTGATTCTCAAGTGACTTTGTTACATGAGCCAAATTATGTAAACCAACCATCACTGGAAATCAAACTGGCACCTACTGTTGGCTACCAAGCAACAGCCTGGGTGTACTTAGGCATATTGCTGCTATATATAATGTATCACAGGAAGAAATAAATTTGATTCTATTCACTTACCAGAATATTCTGGCTACCAACCGCTGCTATACAAATTAGATCAGAGGTGACAGGGATCAGTGTAAATATATTTAGTTAGGAACAGCAAGGAAAGACCAAAGTCAACAGCAGAGGTGGTGGACATGGCCATTGCAAATAAGGAAAGAATGTGCCATACTGTAATATTTGTTATGGGAAATGTGTTGATCAATGCATGAGCACAGAAAATACTCCACTGCAATTAAGTGTGAAGAAAAACAGCAAAGGCTTTGTTGATCCTTTATTAAAATTCACAACATTCTTTGTCTCACTTTACTCATTACACTCATCAGGTTACGTGTTATCTTAATGTCTTAGGGAGTGTTGGACAAAACAAATGTCTGCACTGTCAAACATACAAAATATATCAAATGGTGCTAACCACAAGATGTCTCTACACTAAGTGGGTGCTTTAGGAGCAACTAGTGGCAACATGCAGCTTCCTTATTAAATTATACCCACTTTTGGAGCACAAAGCTTAAAAAATCCAAATAAATCCTAAAACTGTCACTCCTAACTTTTTCCTTTGGGAATTTGATAAATTGATCTGTACGTGAAAGACAAAATTGGGAAATTTGTGTCATGTTCTACTATACTTGAAATAAAATAGCCTTTTTTTGGCTAGTTGGGTAAAGTTTACTTGTAGGATTATACCTAAATCTAAATAATCTAACCATCTGGATCATTAGGGTAAATGTTTGTTAGATTCTCACTCAAACTGGGAAGCCCCTGGCAGATGCCAGCAATGCAAACTTAAAGACGACACCAATTACACAAGGGAAACCTTGCTCATTAACTAATAAAAACGATCAGAATGTGCATAAGCAACGTGGCATTGCAACTTGTGAACGAACGGGAATATATAAAATGCACGTTATACAGCATTTTGTTGTGAACAGTTTTAGGATTACTCAAGGTTCCTCAAAATTACAGAAAATAAAAGCCAACCACCTGTTCACAAAATCACAAACTCAAACACACAATTAAAAAGAATTTATTGTCAAAATGGAGATTAAACATTTAAGCTATGAATAGAAGTAATGCTTTGGGCCAAAAATTAATCAATTTTATCTATTCCCTTAATTTTAGTATGCACAGCCAATTCAGACTTAATTTTTAACAAAATACCCCTTAATCATAGTTACAAAAAGTTAAGATATCACCCTGCTTAAATTGTTACCAAATCCTGAATGCCGAATCCATCCAAGGAGATTGCTCCAGCGTACCTCTCTCGGTCCTGGTTCACTCCGTTTACGAAAAAAAAAGGCAAAAAAAGCCATTCCCACGGGGTATCCATTGGGCTCCAACTGACAAAAATGAAAGGCAAGTTTTTTTTGGCATAACCAATTGTGGGTATGGGATTGGGGTTTTGAGGGTGGGTGGGGTAAGAAAAACAAAAAAAAAAAAAACACAAAAACAAAACAAAAAAAAAAAAATCCACAAATACACGGTTTGACTGGGGCAGGAATCCACTCCTACAGCTCCTGGTAAAATGATCCCGCTCCATGAATCCATGTTATGATCCTCCCTATCCTATCCTCACAATGAATTGAATCCATAGATCCAGCTCCAAGGATTGGGATCCAATGAGCCCTCTCCAATCCAAACCTTTAATAACCAGCAAAACCAAAAAAGGAGGCAAACGTTAGATACAACAAACAACAAGTTTATATGGGGTGGGACAGTTATAGCTCTCATCTGGCCAATATGTACAGACGCTTTGACAGATGAACAGCATAAACTGCATCCACACCCCCACAGTCAATGTGAACGTTGTTACATATTTTAAACAAGAAACTTTATTCCACAATACCATTAAAAAATGACAACTTACTATTGTAGTTAAGTATTCACTAACCCAACATCATAGTCCACTAATGGGCACACATGATAGAAGCCATACATTCAGCATACTTAACTACATTAAAGTATGTCCATAGATACTGCTTAGTTTATTTAGGATGTACACGAAAGAAGATGTTGGACTAGTGGATATCAATTCAAGCCCTGATAGCATTACTACACACGCACGTCAGTTAGCACAAAATTTACTGGTGCAGTATTTACTTTCATTGACACCTTCATTTCTAATTACCATGTGAAATCTAGTAATTGAGTTGTACTGTACATGTAATTCACCACTTAACTGTGTTACAAACTAGAGATTGATGAATTTTTGATCCAGGTAATGAAACTGTGCTGAAAGACAGCCATTTTACTTTTTAATTCTTTCAATTTTAAGTTTTAATCAATAGGACTTCTGTTCAAAATGGTGAAAACCAATGCCAGACTAGTCACACAGAACATGCAAGCTCAGCAGTATTGATGCCGCACAGAACTTCGTATCCCGGCACAGCAACACCATAGCTCATGGATTATACAACCATTTGTACAGAAGAAGCACAACTTCAATACTGCCAAGTTTAATTGTGACAATAGCACTTGGAGTCATACCATTGCCTCCATAAATGATCAAGATTCCTCCTCCTCCTCCAATTAGACACGATTTGACATTCCTAATATGACTGAAATGAGCTCCACAATCCTTTAATCCAAAGAATGCTTAATCCATCCTCAGTTGTGATATGTCTATAGGAAAATACATGAAAAGGTAAGATAAGGTACAACACAAGGTTTTCACAAAAATGTTTCACAACAGTCCTATCTACAGTCTCCTACAATTCTCACATTAGGATTTATTCAATTGAAATGAAATCAACTATAAACATTAACAAATTATCGCAACAGTTTACTGTTATTCCAAGTCATGTTGACACCATTTTGAAAGCTTCCCAGACTCCAAACCTACCCTGTCTATACAATTATCAGATTTCAGTAATGACATAGGAGGGAATGTTAACAATGAAGAGAAGCAACCATCTTTATATGGATATCAATTTAAATTGTGTTCTAAACTTGAATAAAACAAGTTAACGTGGATTTAAAAATAAAGAATCCGTTCTATTTAGGGAAAAAGTGTGGTGGCGCACTACAAGGAATTCCATCAATGGATTTACAATCTAGCTACGCGAGCGTGATCTGCTATGACGGGGCGAGTAGCGGGGAGATCCTCTGCTTCGTCTGGGAGAGTAACTACGGCTTCTGCTGCGACTTCGGCTACGGCTTCTGGTTCGACTGCGGCTACGTGAACGAGATCTTCCATAGCTTGGACTTCTTGGACCATCAACTTTCACACGAATATATGCTGTTTCTCCCTATTGAATACGTGAAGAGAAATGTTGACTACTTTCAAACATTATTCAGGAAAGCCAGTGTATAAGACTAATACTTTGTCATTTTCTTTTCTGCTGAAAAGGTCCTTAGGTCATTCAACTGCACACTTTCAACCACAACAGATTTGACATATAGCATGCTGACAATTTTGGGACTGTAATTAAGACTAGAAATTTAACTCAAGTTCAGCATAGTATTTTCACCCAAACTAACTGGATTATATTTCAGAAGTATCAGTCATAAATGTAACTAACGTTTGAGCCATTCTTTTCAGAACTTCTTGACCACTGTCTTACCTGAAGTCCAAATGAATAGTTAAGTTATGGCTCTTAGTCATCATCTGTAAAGCTTTCAGAATTGGGTCACATACCTCGTGAGATCGAAATTTTGTGTTATCCAGTTTTCGCACTGCATAGCTCATATCTTCTTTGCGAACAAACTCCACGACACCAGTTCCATCACGGAAAACATCAGCGTAACATACATCACCTGCTTCCCGCATGTGATCTTTCAAATCCTGCCAGCTACCACTTGGAGGAAGCCCTGAAAAAATGTGTTATTTAATAAGATTTCCAGAATTGTTCAGAAAACATGAAAATCACAATTGCTCTGACTGTCTCACCTGAAACTACCACTCTGTACTCAGAGCGTCTAGAAGGGGGGCCATATCTTCCTCGAGGGGTCTGCCCACCACCTCCTCCACCGCCACCCCCTCTTCCAGTCCCTCGACCACTCCGTGGAAATTCAACACGCAGGCGGTAACCATCGTAATCGTAACCATCTCGACCGTACACAGCATCCTCAGCATCCCTGAAAACACAAGAACGTTAGAAGACCACATGGTGTTTAGATTTGGGGGGGGGGGGGGGGGGAAAGAAGGGGGAGAATTGGAGAAATGTCCTAGTTATCGAAAATAAAAAAAAAAGTTCACCCGTGAAGTCGACCCTTTGAAGCAGTACTGTCTTCTAACAATGCACCCGCTAAGTGTGCGGTAGGAGCAACCAGTTAAACACCAGAAGTGAACGTACTGCCCCCGGCGCACTGATTTACACCTTCAACATCCCCCATCCCCGGAAAAAAAAACACGTGGAGCTCCGGCCTCCAGTTTAAACTGGTCACAGTAAAAACCCGCCAAACAAAGGGCTTGCGTGGCGTAGTTTCCTTCTGCAGCAAAATGGCGATCAGATACAGTTGTCGTCAATTACAAACACAATCGGCTTATAAAAATACGAAAATGTATTCACTCGAAAGCAAGCTCACGTCACAGAAATTTAACTGCGGTGCAAGGAAGCCGCGATGCTTCAATTAGGTCAATTTCTGCTGGTTCAGCAAGTGTGCGATTCCAAACTAAGAACACTACGTACAAATTAAAGAAACCAACCACCACAAAGACTCGAGATAGAATTCAAATCTCCTCCACCCCCAACCGCGCGGTCAGTGGCAAATAATTACTCGACTAAAACAAGTTTAAGTCTGCAAATGCAATTTCCTCCGCCTACTCCAAGAATTAAAAGTTGTAAACAATCTTGTCCGGAAAAGTACTTTTAAACAGTTTGGGGGAGAATTGAGAGATCGGTACAATTAGTTATGGGTGGGGGGCGGCAAAAGGGAGAATTACATTTGGCCGCACCAAGAGCAATCTCGCCCCAAAAATTTTAAAGGCAGCAAATGCAAACCCCTGCACGAATTACAACAAAAGCAAAATAACCCCCTTTCCAAAAGTTTGAAGCAGCAAACAAAATACCCAACTTAAAAGCTCAAATGCAAATCCCAAGAGAATCAAGTTGCAAATAAGTCCCAAAAATGAAAAACTGCAATACAAACCTGCACTTCTGAAGATTTTTAAAAAAAATTGCTAACGAATGCAATTTCCCCACGACAAATTTCAAAGCTGCGAATAAGCGTTTTTTTGGGGGGGGGGCGTCCCTAAAAGGAATCAAAAAGTTGCAACGCAGCCCTTAAAAACGTGTGAAATCAAGGGCGCCAAAAGCCATTTCGGCCAACGCCACGTCTAAAGTGAAAACAAAACTGGACCAAGTACGATTTATCCTAAGAATTTAAAAGAAAACAAACTAGAAACAGAGGATGCAACCTGCCCTCCACGCGGGGTGAGACTGGGAAGCCCCATGCATGCAACACAAGGAGGGAAGTGTGGTGTTTGATGGAAAGAGAGGGCAGCCATGTCTCTCTGTCTGTCTAGTCTGTCCCCCGTCTGGAGTCTTTGCTTGTACCTCGGATCTTCGAACTCGACGAAGGCGAACGGCGGGCCGCCGCGGCGGTTCTTCAGGTCGATGTCTCTGATGCTGCCGTACTTGTAGAAGACGTCCTCGATGTCCTTGGTGCGGATGTCGGGCGGCAGGTTGCCCACGTAGATCCGACAGTCGTTGTTGCCCGCCGGGCCCCGGATCACGCCGCTGTGGTTCTGCATCCCGTTACCCTCCAGCCCGACGGTTGACGACACTCGGGGGGGTTAGGGGAGGAAATAAAACACCGTTTGGAGAGGGATGGGGGGCGGGGTGGGGTTGGGAAGTGGGAAGGGTGGCGATTAAATTTAAAAAAAAAGTAGAGGAACGGAGTGGTTATTTTTTTTAAAAATCACAAACGAAGGGAAGGACGAAGTAAGTGGATTGGCGCGACTTTTTTTTCCTTTGAGGACAGCACAACCTACGCGCTCACCCTTCCTCGCTCTCTCTCAGGACACACGCCGCAGGAGGATTAATGTCGAATAAAATGCGAGTCGTGTGGGTTTTTTTTTCTAAAAAGGCGCTGTGTATATGATTGGAAACAATCTTCCCGGCTCCTGTCCGCCTCTTCCCGAGAGCAGCTCAAAATGGCGACCGCCTCGCTCCACACAAACCAACGGCACCAAGTAGTGCCGACGGCGACTGCGCATGCCCATACTTCCCGACAAAGAGTTCCCCCTCCAACCCCATTGTACCATTTTACCTCTTCACGGACGTTTCAGGTCCTTCGCTCGTGCGTCTCTGCGTACGTCTACACCGACGAGCTAAGGGTCAAACACGCTTTACCCCCAGCTCTTTTCCGTCCCGAAACCTGAACCGTCGTTAGCCCCGCGCTTCTCCCTCCGCGTCCAGCAGGTTCACGGCAGCGGCGGAGGGACACAGCGTCCGCCCGGAAGCGACGCGGCGCTGACGTCACGGGGCTTCGCGCGCTCTTGGGCCCCATTGAGCTTTTACTTTGTACACGCCCCTTCCCTTCCCTTTCTCTCTCCCACCCCTCAGCTCACCTCCCCTCCCCTTTCTATTTCCCTTTCTCTCCCTCCTCCCCCCTACCCTTCCCACCCCTCACCTCCCCTCCCCCCTCCCTCCCCCCTCATACATAGCTGCCATTCACTAGAGTTGTTGTGATTATCCTGATATTTTATGCTTGGGAGTTCACAGTGTTGTGTATTGCTGTCTGAGCTGCTACTGCCATGTGTCCCCAACACCATCTGTCGGCCACTCATGTTTTGTAGAGTGATAAAGAGTGAGCTGAGCAAGAAGGTAAACAAAACACTCAACCGTTGGTCTTACTGAAGCGCCTACAGTATCTTCTCTTCACTGTATGGTACCTTTTTTGCTAATGAAGATTCTTGCACACTGAATGAAATTTCAGTAGAGTTATATCTCGTCAATCAAGAAACTAAATGCTTTCAATCACTGGATTTATTGAACGTCTTTTTCATTGTTTTATTATCACTGCTGTTAGCTGTCTTCTGAATTGTACGCTGACTTTCACCACCATGCCTCAACTCATCAACGGCTACTCTCCCGACCTATCATGTTTTATTTCACATAATTCAAAATACATAATCACTTCGTTTCCTTACAGTACTTTAAATAAATTGGGCTGAGAGAACTTTCTGAACCTACGCAGTGATCATTTGTTTTTTAAATATTGATCACTTTTAAAGAATCTGGAATTAGTGATGTACTATGAAAACAGCATTGTTGCACTTGCCAAAATGTGACTGCTGTGCTGTTTTGTAATGGTTCAGCTGCTTTCTCCTCCCTTTCAGGGTGTATGGCCAGGGGCCAGTCAGACTGAGCATGCGAGCGAGTGGGTGTAGGAGATCGCTGCTGCTGGTCTGCTTCGGTTCTTATCACGATCATCTAATGATCTGCTTATGTTCTCCCTGTGTGGAAGGTAAGCAGACAACACAATAGTTACAGTTGTCAAAGTGAGTTACTAAGGAAACATGACAGTAAAATGAAACCTATTCCAGCGGTAGAGACCAAGGCAGAGTTCTAGTGTCAGCGACTGTAGTTATAGGATTCAAGAGGTGAATTGGGGAGCAAGCACTTTGAAAACTGCATTGCTGTTCAGTGGTATACCGTGTGGGCTGATTGCATGATGTGGACGTGGTACGAGTGTTCTCTTACTTTTTGTTCTTCCTTATTTTGGTCAGACCTGGAGAATTTCCTTACTCCACAGTTGCCATTAATTATTAATAACTAACATCTGGTCTAGGGGCAAGACAGACTGTGTGCTCAGGTGGAAGTATGCAGAATGGAGATCCCACAGCTTTCTCTCTGATTTAGTCTAGAGTCGGAAGGCTCAAGGGCATCCTCCCTGCCTGAAGGCCAGCTAAGGTCAACTTAAAGGCCTCATTCCACTCAGTTGCAGTAGTGATTCAGTAGTAGCACTACTGATCGAGCTGGTTGGGTCCAAAAGGACACTGCTGCTATACTGGGTTTGGACCAGGTGGTGACGGAACCAACAAGAGGGAAAAACATACTTGACTTAATCCTCACTAATCTACCTGTTGGAGATGCGTTTGTAA